TTGAGATGACATAAGCAATTTGTAGATTCGATTAGCGTACGATCTTCAGAGAATTTTTAAAATTAACATGTTATCGAAATTCAAATTTATTGTGATTTTGCCCCTATTTGGTGGAGATTAAAAATCAAATTTTTAATAAATTTTGATAAAAATTAAACTGTTATGGATTCCATGAAATATATTATTAAAATTAATTGTTAACTTTGATTTAGATTAAAATTTAGATTTAAATCGATATCAAACATGATTTTATATTTTAAAAAAAAAAATCTCAAAAGTTGAGAGGGGAGACACTCGCCTCCCAGGACCCCCCTAGGTCCGTCCATGCTCATGACAATTGAATGGTGCAAATTTATGCTTGGAAAAACTAAACCATTCAAAAAGTCAGAAGTCCAAGTCCGTAGAATTAATAATCTATTTCAAGATGTTTATTACGTCGTGGTGAATGTCATTTAAAGATTTTAATTTGAAGTTGACTATAATATTCTTATCGACTATATTGTGATTTAGAAGTGATCTCATGTAAAAACTTCCAAATGCGGCAGAAAGAACTGTAAACATGATTATCTGAATGTATAATTATTGCAGAGAAACATAAGTTATGTTTCTCTGAATGTATAATTGTTACAGAAAACCATTTATGATTATGGTAGAAATAAATTTGAGGGGTTAAAATGAAGAAATGTACGCTTTCCTTTTTGACGAGTTGTTGGCTACTATTCCATTCTTCATTTTGGACAACAAGATTGACGTTGATTCCTTATGCCATCTCTGAAGACGAGTTTAGTCACCACATGACAGGACTCTTCCATGTAGAGGACGGCCCAATAAAATTAATGAATTTGAGGGGCTAAAAGTAAGTACTAAAAACACTTAAATGAAATAGTAATAACAACACCAATAATAGTAATACTAATAATAATCTAATTTCTAGAATTGGGAAGGGATAAACACAAAGGGCTCTTCCGTGTAGAGGACGACACAATAAATGGCCCAAAGTCGTCTGAATATTCAATACCTCAACATGTAATAATCATTGTAATATTCTTGAATAAAAGTCAGGTAGATTTTTCTATCTTGAATAAAAGTCAGGTTCATGCCTAACCTCTAGGCTAAGCAACTTGTCGATGGACTGTTTTACTTCTACATGCCCTACTATACATTGGAGATTAACTTAAGCACTTGGATGATATGGCCCGTTACAATAAGTGGTGAAAGAGAATGATTGGTTACAAAATTGAGCCCATGTTTGGCCCTCATTATTTTTGCATTTTTTATAGTTGAAATTTTTTGGAATAGTGATTGATGTAAGAATGTGTGGTGGAAAAGTAGTGAAAAGTTTTAGATTTGTGTGTAATATTATTTTATTTGATGAATGTGTGGTTGTAATGAAGAGAGAGAAACATTTAATGTAATGAAATGGAATCTAATGGGGGCCAAACAGGACTGATTATACTACATATTGTAATATGTCACGTCATCTAATACTTAGGAGATCAATTCCGTGTGTATACATATACACATATATACATTTTTGCAAATGGTACTTTTATATTTTCAATATTGGTCATTTAACTTTGAAAATTCACCTTGTACGTCGTTATTTTAGTCTCGTTTGCATAAACTAACACATAGATGGTGTGTATAATGGAAAGATGATTTGAAAACACTTGCAAGGTTAAATTGATGGTTGATGGGATCATTTGTGTCGGGAAGAAAGGTTCATATGAAGAAAAATCTAGAATTTAGGATTTAGTCATGTTGGATCTTTAGGGTTTGCCACATGTTAATTTTCTTTAGATATAGCGTCGTAATTTTATCAAATCGTATTTTCATCTTGCGCATCCTCTGTTTTATGGAATGGGTGCTGATACAATGACTAACTAGACGAATATTAAAAACTTAGATGACTTATAAAGCAAAACAAAATTAAAAAAAATAGAAAGTTTATTGATCATTAGTGGACCAACCCATCTAGAAGTTATACATTCATTACTATGCTCCATATTGAAATGAAGTGATATAAACAGCCAATTATTGTGCCTAACTAAATTTTAACTTTGCAAGGGAAATCAAGACCAAAAAAATAAAGATTAATATCTTTGAATTATCAAAGCAAAATTCGAGAAGATCATTATGCATACGCGAGTTTCAAGGCCACCACACATCTATATAAACCCCCAACTATAGGATTTGTTAAACCACAAAAAAAGAAAAAAGAATAGTGAAATAGAACCATAGCAGCAAACATGAATTCCCCCAGAAATCTCCTCCTTGCAGTGTCCCTTTTGGCGATCACATTCTTTGCCTATACCCATGCTGCCACTTTTGACATTGTAAACCAATGCACCTACACAGTCTGGGCCGCTTTCTCGAGTCCCAGTCCCTCAGCTGGTGGCGGTCGAAGACTCGACCAAGGCCAGACGTGGAATATTGATGTTGCCCCGGGAACTATCCAAGGTCGGATATGGGGACGTACTAGTTGTAACTTCGATGCAAATGGTCGCGGTCAATGTGAAACTGGAGACTGCAATGGGCTGCTAGAATGCCAAGGTTATGGTAGCCCTCCCAATACATTAGCTGAATTTGCCCTTAATCAGCCTAACAACTTGGACTTTGTCGATATCTCTAACGTCGATGGATTTAACATCCCTATGGAGTTCAGCCCCACCACCGATGTCTGTCGCCGTCTCGTATGCAATGCCCCTATAGTCGATCAATGTCCAAGCGAACTACGTACCCCTGGCGGTTGTAACAACCCGTGCACAGTTTTCCCAACCAACGAATACTGTTGCACCGATGGACCTGGAAGTTGTAGCCCAACAGATTTTTCAAGGTTCTTTAAGGAAAGGTGCCCGGATGCTTATAGCTACCCGCAGGATGATCCGACGAGCCTGTTCACTTGCCCGGCTGGTACCAACTACCGTGTCGTCTTCTGTCCATCATGATCAAGCTCTTGTATCTGCTGTAATAGTTTGGTGCACAAGTAGCGTTGTGCAACATGAATATCATCCAAATACTAAAATAGAATAAGGATCAAAATCAAAGAATAAGACTGGAAATATGGTTCCAGTTCACCTGTCTTTTGATAAATTATAATTAAAGTTGACTTTACTTTTCCCCCCTCAATTGCTTGTTCGTTTAGCAATATTACTATGTAAAACACCCTATACATGTTCTCTACTATCCAACGTGAACCAAAAAGTGCCATTTTCATCTACTCTTTGCTCGGTCACTTACCTCTCGACTCGTTTTCATGTTTGGAATGGTCGGGATCTCCACATTCGGCTTTTTATCATCGTTTGAAGGCTCAATTTCTGAAATAGAAAGCTTTTCATCTATACAGCTTTATTTCAGACCTTTAATTTTGTTAATTCATTATAAATGTACTCAAAACCTTCAAGCTTTTTTGAAGTATGACGAGGTTCGAGTGCGATTAGATGAGAAATGCGACACATGACATTACTCAGCCTAACGAGATAAAAAATGAATACAAAAAAAATTCATTTTTTAAGAACAAAATCTTTTGTTTTTAATAGTTTCTCGACCATCTATTTTTGATGGAATAGCCTAAAATGACTTGTTACACCAATAATTTGGGGAGTCAAAATTGAAATTTTTTTCAACTGAATTGATGAAAAAAAATATAGCCAATAAGAATGTTACATTAAGATAGATAGGTGTAGAGTTGAAAACCATTTAGAACATAAATATTCATTGCGACTTTTCTCCTCTTCTAGAGATAAGCTATGGCCTATGGGTCAAGACAATGTAGTTGATCATCCCCGTGCAACAAATTGTACCTACGTTGATTAGATAAAATTTTTCAAATATGTTTAAAATTGTTAATTTTTCTTACTTAGAAATAAAAAAAAATACTTATTTTGATAGTAAAATATGAGTTACTTTAATAACTTATTTACAAATTAGACCAACCAAACTTATTTAAAAACTTCATTCACTACTTCTGGACCCAAGTTCTTGTTAGAGAACACCATCACCACCGCCGTCACCATCCCCCAGTCCTAAAACAACCAAAAACAGCCTTAATTCCTGAGATAACCCTCACCCTCCCGTACCACTTGTGCACCACCACCGACCGCCCTCCCGTATCACTTGAGCACCATTTACACCTCCAAAAACCCTATAAGAGAAAAAAAAGATAAGTACAACCCGTAAAACACCCAAGGTTCCAACGTTAACCCTATATAAGGCCATTGTCCAACCTTAATTACTCCCCCAATTTATTTTCTCTGATAGTTTTTCACCAGAGGTAAGAGATCACCGCCATTAAAAATTCGTCGCATTCAAAATAGTTAATCAAATGAAGAAAAAGTGACACTTACACTCGAATTGAAGTGGACCAATCTGAAATCTGAAAATTGGGTTTGTTTATAATTCGGGTGTGTCAGGAGAAAATCTGAAACTGCATTAGAAATTGGGTTATTGAATTCGCGAAAAATCACCTAACCAAACAAGGATCTTTGGGCTTAGAAATAAAGTTCCGAGCCTTAGCCCTTCTCTTCCCAGTGTAACAGGCTTCATGTCGTTTTCAACTTCAAGCATTAAAAGTAGCACTTAGATCTCCAATTTTTTTATATTCAAATCACCATCAGCTTTGGGATCATTTTGGTAGAGCATTTTTGTTAGGACTTAAGCTGTATTAGACAAAAAGATTATTTTAAAATTAAAGAATTATTATATAAGAGTTGTAAAAGTTAAGGAGTCTTTTGTGATATATAGATGAATTGTGAATCTTGGTGTTCAAGTATGGAACATGGAGAAAGAGTCGCCAGATTTATGTTAGTTTGTCGCTCATCTGATGCTCGAGCGTCCAGAACAGAATCAAGGTCGCCTATCGTCGTTAGTCTGGCGCTCGAGTGACGGTATTTTCGAAAAACCATAGTTCGTGATTTTCAAGAGTTCTATCTATCATATACTATTCAAACACTTTACATTATAAATACTCGATGCACATTACATTTGTGTGTATGGTTGATCATTATAATACATCATCATAACATTTTTCCAAGATCCAAGACCATATCCAAACATTGAAATTAAACATTTGATTCTTGAGATCAATCAACTATAAATTGGGAAAAACATCAAATAATCTAAAACACTCACTTCCTAAATATAATCAGGAAGGTATTTTCTCAATAACTTTCAGATGTTACTAAAAATTAATGGAGGTTGGACCAGAAGTACGGAAGAGTACAAGAATAAGGCGTTCGGTGATCCACATGAGATAAACAATTCCAGAAAATCAGAAGGAGATGTGAGTGAAGCACGTTCCAGTGGCTGTTGGAGATTGAAGAAATTAGATCAGATAGTATAGTGGATTTTCTAGTCTGGAACATATTGTAAGTTCTTATTGTTTATAGTAGATGTTACTAGCTTGGTCACGGAGTTTTTATCCAGTTAAGGGTTTTCTCCGCCAACAAATCTTGTATTATTTACTGTCTTATTTATTATTATGACAATTCAACATAGAATGACTTGATGTGATTGACTAAATATTTAGAACAATTAAAAAGTGAATAGTTGCTTTTAATTGGTAATTTTGATTCCGCGCTATTCACCTATTAACTCACACTTTAAGGGTGCGTTTGATTGTAAGGGTGGAAAATGGGTGGAAAGAAAATGTTTTACAGGGAAAAGATTTACCTAGAAAATGTTTTGTAGG